CGAGCTCTTGTCTCTGACCATTCATCGATACTGCGATACTGCCGCACCGTCCTGCATGGCCCAAAGGAACCCTCGTTAACCCTGAAAACTACCCTCCCCCTTTCTCCTCCACGGACTTCACGTCTCGACGTTTTCGCTGGAGTGTGGCGACGTGTCGTATATTAGTTTAATCCTTTCAGCCACCGGAGCACTTTCACCTTTGATATACAGAGTATATCGAATTAGTTTTAGCTATCTCGACGACTGACACTGGATTTCGGTGACAATGCATAAATTAATAACATATTAAATTGAAAAATTTGCATTAAACTCTGTTACTGCGAGGATAAAATAAATGTTTATCTTGCAGTGTTCTGCTGCGATGGAAGAGAAGGAAATGACAGCTAAAATGAGGAGAAATAAAAGGATAATGAAATACTAAGGTATATATTAATGAAAAGATTAACATTAAATTAGATGTTATATTTTAGCTTAAATTACGGGAAAGTATGACATAAAATTGCACATTTTCCATTTTGCATAATTTTCCGAAATTAACTTCTTAATTAAATATTTAATTCTTATGGAGAACCAACTTCTTCTGCAGCCTCCACATATGAATATACGTATTCATGATCACGAATGAATGTAGAATCATCAGTCTCAGCAGAGCAAAAATTTAAGGGGATAATTAGCACCTCGACCGAGTGATGGATGATCAAAAAAGAAGAGAGAGAGAGAGAAGAATAAAGAAGAGGAGGTAACCTCAATCCACTTCATAATTATCGAACTGTGCAAACTTCATGAATACATGCAAGTGGTTCAAAGCGAATCGCTTTGTTCACGCGAACTCGGCGGCGCGGGCGGAAGAAGAAGGGGGATGAAGGAAAGGGGACCGCGATCCCGGACTAACGAGGATTTCTCTCCGGGTTCCGGGCGGGTTGGTTGTCCTTCTGGATGTCCTTAAATTCCGCCGAAACATTATGGAAATGAAATCCTGGGACCCGACGATGACGGCGACGCAGACGGAGGGTGAGGGCGAGGGCGGAGGACGACGAGGATGGCGAATTTAACTGCGTTATAACTTGCGCGTTAGCATACGCAATCGGATCATCGCGACCGGGCGGCGGACGAGTGAGCGAGCGAGCGATGTCTTAACGAGCGTCGCGATGCCGGATGCGATTAAGAGATCTGACGAGCGCTCGTTCGCGGCGTCAAATGAAAGGGAAGCGTAAGATATTCCGCGTCGCTCGATACGTCGTCTTGGAAGCGCTTTTAATCAAGAAATCGTCCTTAAGCAAGGAATAAGTCCTTTAATAAATCCAAAAATTTGATATTATACATCATCTATTAGCCAATTGATTTTTGCTCGACAATTCGCTTTGAACACTGTCAAATTTAACCTTATTTAAGTCGCCACTGCTCCTAAATAAATAGTTATTTTTAAGTAAAACAATGAAGTTAAATAATTTAAACGGTTCCAGTTTAACCCAAATTTGGGTTAAATTCCATTGTTTTATTAAAAAAAACTATAGCTTTAGTTAAAAATAATCATATATTAAGTAGGAGCAGTGGCGACTTAAATAGGGTCAAATTTGACACTACAGATTTAACAGTGCATGTTAAATTACAATCGTATATAAGCTATGAATTATAATTATAAAACTTATTTATAAAGAAGCTTATTCTTCTTTTGGTTACAATTTTAATTCTTTTTTAGTATTTAATGCTGAACTTTTAGAGATGTGATTTTTTAAACTCAAGATAATTGACGTTTTCTAAAAATAAGAATTGGTTCCTTTCTTCGTTCCATCCATCAGATAAGCGCACGTAGACCTTCCTTATCTATAGGACCTATAGAAACCTTCGTCTTGCAGGATATCTATCCTTTCATGCTCGCCGGCTTTTAATCGCGTGGTTTTCCGAACAAAGCTCGATTCTTCCTCGATTCATTCTCCCGTCCTTCGCGAGAAATTCGTCGCATTCGATTCGAGGACGTCGCCGCCGCCGTCTTCGTCATCCGGTTTCCGCTCACGTAGGGACGGCACCGGCCGAGTTGAGGGAGGAAGAAAGAGGCGCAGGACGATTCAATCGCGTCGACGTCGACGATGACGCGGGCGCGGTCGACGAAATATTTATTTCGCGAAGAGCCCTTTCTAGTCTGAAGATTGATAAGCGCCGCGGCAGGATCGAGGAGCCCTGGCTTCGCGAGTAAATATATATATGCATTGGGCGACGAGCCTTACACATATATGTATATACAACCGTCTACAACTCGCACATGGGCGTGCAGCTTTTGCACATAGCACGCGGTATATAACGGGGGAGGCATACGTGAGATGGTTCCCCGCCGAGAAGGGAGGAAATCATATCTGTCCCGCGGATGATGGGGATGAATAAAAAATGCGCAAGGAATAACGAAGTCGATTTGTGGATTTTAGGAGAAGATGGAAGGCGCAATAACTTTGCAGAAATAAGAGAACCGATAACGGCACGGCAAAAGGTGAAGGAAGGCCGTGGGAGTTTCTTTCGCGTATCACGTTTCTTCCGTAGGTGATTGGATCAAATATGGGATATGATAAAGGTCCAAGAAGAGAGGCTTGTAAATTTTATAGCAGAACGTAAAATTGAATAGCAGAATTGATCTGATAAATAGGGAAGCAAGCGAAGGAGAGAGAGAGAGAGAGAGAGAGAGAGAGAGAGAGAGAGAGAAGAGGACAGGAACGGGCGAACCGGCGAGAAAGAGGCCACTAAAATATTAACAATATTTAAGTGAGCGCGACCGTATAAAAGCACGGGAATATAAGCGAAAGAGGAATTTATGAATTATTGTAAGCTCTCCGTTTTATTAAGCCGGAAGGGAGAGATTTGTGATTGCGCCGCGCTCCGCCAAGCTCGCGTTTAATGCTTCACAAAATCTGTCAGCCGCACGGAGCTTAATTAACGCTGCTAATTCCGTATGTAATAAGATTATTACGTCCGGAAGACTTCCGACGTGCATGGCAATTCCAAGTTTGCGGTCTGTTGAAAAACGACGCGTTCAACGCCGTTTTACCTCGAGACGTAGTTTCGGGGACGCGGTGACGGGAAAGCCCCCCCTGATTAAAACTCGGTCGGCTGGACTAATACCTCTTCGATGCTTCTTAAAAGTTGGCGCGACAGCGCCTATCCGCTTATTTCCATAAAAAGATCACTCCGTGCCGCGAGTTTCCGAAACTCGTGGCCCGAAACTCTGCGCGCGGCCTCCGATCGCGTTTATGTAAATTTGTATCTCCGTCATGTCGATGGCATGGAACGCGCGACGAAGGCGAACAGGAGAAACGACTTGTTCAGCGTAATTGAATATTATAAATGTAAGAAGGCTCGCTGAAAGGCATCTTAAAAGTACGGGAGCCCAAAGGTGATGCTCTCTCGCAGCACGTGTATATAGGCGACAAGATTTAATCTCGTTTCTCTAAAACTTAAATTCTAAAACAGTGGAAACTTTAATCGAAATTCTCAGACTACATTTCGCCCCGCTTTCTTCGACACTTAGAATGACGCAATAAATTTTGTTATATAACATAAATACTTATTTTTTTTATGCGAACTCGGATTTAACGCGATTTAAATTAGTGCAGCCTCCCCGAACACGTGGCGTAATTAATTATCCGCTCCGTTAGATTGCTCGGACCCCCCGGTGGTCGGTTCCTAATTAAGTTTAGCCCGCTGATTACCATCCCTCTCCCTCCCCCTCCCTCGGTCGTAATGAGAACGGTCGAAGAATCAAGTGTCTCACTTGATTCGGAACTCAACGAATGCGAAGAAAATTTATCTCGCCGAAATCTCCGAGAATCAGAGACAAATCATAGATTGAATTTTGTATTTTATTTGAACAGCAAGAGTTTCAAGTGGAAGTTTATTCTCTGAATTCGTTATCGAATCTTGTGGAGCGATGGGTTTTGCGTGTATCTTCTGCAGATGGGTTTAAAAGTCGGCATTGAAACGAGATCAATTGCGATGCTTTTTTTTTCTTTCCTCTCCCCCGTATAAATGGCGATCGCATAAATCCACGCTTCGCGACACGGGAGTTTACACGGGGTGGGGGGGAGGCGCATATGTCTTCCGTTACAGATTTATTGTCTCGCGAGATTGGGGAACGCGGCGAGCCCGGCTTGATGGCCCGTTTGTGTTGGAGACGAGGAAAAATGGCGTAGAAGCGACGACGGGTCGCTTAGTATGTTAATGCGAGCCCTCGCTACGCGCGGCTGTGAACGTCGGCTATCGACGATCCCGAGGACCGAGCCACGTTATAGGAGGAGCGTGTGTAAATAGCGGTGTAACGCGAGGCTGTGCAATAATCGTTCCGCGACGAGCGGTGATCTACGAGGTAATCCGAGAGAGAACCCGGTGGAAACCTGACACCACATGGCGATCGCGAGCGTCCGCCGCATAATGATTAAATCGAATCGGTGGATCAATTATGACAAGATCATAATTATATCGCGTTCCACGAAACGCCTCGTCGCTTACGAGCGGAGTTAGATTGCAATAACATGGATCGCTATTCTTAATTATTAATAAATATAATTAGTAACTGATGTTATTGATATTTATATTATTATGTATAATACAAAATAGTTGAATATTGACACAATTTGGGATGGGATCTTACGTCTAATAATAATTTTTGTGAATTTTATACATTTTCGCTCCTTTATGTTTATGAATCACACGCCGATTGCTATTCGGTATTCGAACTAATTTTAATGCCAAAGCTGAAAACGTAATTTAAAACGTAATTTAGTATTAAATTAACACATTGATATTAATTAATATTAATAATTAATATTACTGATGCTATAATGAGCATTTTATAAACTTATTGAGTTTGTCAATCCCAGGATATTTTGGATTTTTACATTTACCGCTGCTGCTCGTGTCGAACTTCTCTCAGCATATCTCAGCGCGTCGCCTCTTTACTGCTTATCATCGCGATTCACAGCGAGATTGAACGAGCGGTGTGTCTCTTCTCGTTGCAGTGGTCCTGTTTCACCGTGAAATGGAACGCTCGAGCAGCGGACGTGCGCGCAAATAACGCGATCGCAGCCGATTCCGGCGGACGATAATCGTGGGAAGGAGGTCCTCTATCCACTTGGGCATTTTCGACGAGGCGCCGCTCCGTTAGCCGACACTCGCGTGCAACATGTTCGGGACGAAATTGCGCACGTGGATGGAGGCACACATCGTGCGATCGAAGAAGAAGAAGGACCGGAAGAAGGGCGACAAGGGATTCGACTCGAACTGCAACTCCCCCAGGAGCCACAGCGCCAACAGATCGCCCGCTTTGCACCAGGTGAGCCACTCGAATCTCTCGTCGCAATTTCTCGGTCACTTTGCGAAACGAGCCCGAATAAATCTTTGCTGTTTCACGATCCTCCTCTTTGATTTTGTAATGTAATTTAAATTCCTCATGTAAATGAAATTACATTTACATTGTTACGTAATTTCATTTAAATTTTAAAACAAGCCTCATATGCAGTCAATTATTGTTGCAATACGATTCTTTTTTTTGCGTAAAAAAAGTTTAATCTTAACAATTTTTTCCCGTCTAGAAAAAAATACTCTGCAGTTTATTTAATATCTATATAATACTCGATACAAATAAATTAACTTCCCAGTGCAATTACCAAAAGTTTACAATCTCCTTTATCGTTTTCGACAGCCTTCTTTGTACGTTGCGAAATTTTATATGGGGGGTCTAACGTTAATTGCTCTCGCTCGCGATCGCGAATACTCGACTCTGAAGTATCCCGAAAGGCGCACGCTCGCCGGATTCATCGTCATTATCGGCAAACTAGTTTGCGAAGTGCTTCCCCTATTTTCCTACTGCTTGCCAGCGTTTGCTCGTTACGCCCGTCCGTTTCTCCGCTAACAGACCCTTAGGTCGGCGTTTTCCGTGGAAGGAGCTGCCAGGGCACGTCGACGCTTATCGTTAAGGCGGGTAGAAAAAGGGTTCAGTATTCTTTTCCCGACATACCCCGGCGGGCGACTCGCCCTCTCGCGTTCTCTCGCGCCATTCAGATTGCAGATCGCCGCAGTATCTTCGGGCTTTGTGCAGTCATCGGACGACTGCTTTATTGAAACCGTACCATTAATATAGATCGTATTGAATTTATGAATTTTTACGTCGCATAAATTCTGTTCTTTTGTTGTGCATCTTTCGGATGCGGGCGCGATAATACGCGGGTTGCTTTCGAAGATCATTAGTATTTTTTATATTTTTTGAAAGCTGATCGAAGATTCCGAATCTAAAAGATATTTTGTAATAAATTCCTTAAAGTGAGTTTTTTTTTCATTTTTTTAACACATTTTTTTTTATTTTTTATGTAAGTGTAACATATTTATTACATTATTTGTATTGTTTACATTAATATTTTTGCACATCTTTAATCATTTTTTTGGTTTAATAAACATGCGAGTAATACTAAAAGAACCACGAAGATAAATCTTAAATAAGCATCGTTCATATCAATTTATGTTGAATTGAAATATTTTTTTATCTCGTCTATCGAAAGAGAACTGACCAAATAAAAATTTCAAGATACGAGTCGCGAGTATTCAGAGGAATTCTTGATCTTCTCCCCAGGTACATCCGGTGGACTCGCCGTCGAAGAACGTGGACGGTATCCGGTTGCACGGGGGCGGCTACGGCGCGACAGTGACCAGCTCGTCCGGCACTTCCGGCGGCACCGCCGGAAGTGTGAACCTCTCCTCGCCGGAGAGCGCGTACTCGACCGGCTACTCGACCGACGGCACCTCGCCCGGCACCAGTTTCCCGCCTGAGTACTACATCAACATCAGGACCGGCACCCACTATTTTCAGAGCAGCGGCGGCGGCAGCGGTACCACCGCCGCCGCCAATAACAATAACAACAATAACAATAAGACCAGGGCGAAGAGGTCGCCGGGCAACGCAGGGGACCACCCTCCGACCGGTAGTGTCCGACCAGGAAATGGAAGAGCCGAGGACAGGGGGCAGTCATCCGCGAGCACGACGAACATGACCAGAGACAACGGTCAGCCGGAAGTACGAACGAGCACGCCGCACAAGGTAAGCGCCGTGTGTCTATAACTTCTGGAATTTGAGGCAGGTGACAAGGGACGCTTCGCGTCCAAAAACCATTAAACGGTGCACTCTCTCCCAAAGGAATGCATTAATTGAGAAAACTCGAACCGTCTAAATTCAACTATATAATATTTTTCTTTTATATTTACTTCCTTTATATACGTAACTAAAAAAATAATTAAAATTATATCTTTATTTTTACAAAGATAAATATATATAATTATATAAATATCTTCCTCTAATTGTGAAGAGATGGCTTCTTCGCTGTTGTAGTTGCGGCTACGATTACTTTGAATTTTTTTCTTCTTCTATGAAGAATATTAAAGAACTTTTTAATAATTTATATTATTTAAATTATCCTTCCAATTTAAATTTATATTATTTTACTTGAAAATTAAATGTAGATATTCCATATTGCCTGCTATGTATTTTAACGTTTCATTATACGTTAATTTCAGTCATAATTTTTCGAACGCGAGATTCTCACGGAATCATTAAAAATCGAGAACTATCGCTTGCGTAGCTGTGTGAGAGTTTTCCCAGTTTGAAATTTTAATTCAGATGTCGTTCGAAAAACGCTAGGAGCGTTCGCTGTTGCGAAGTTTCGGAACGTCTCGATACGACGTATTCACGAGGGAAGAGCTATACGCGCTACACTTCCATCAAACGGGTCGCATTCTATTCGGTCCTCAAATAGTTTATAGGTTGAAGGTAAATGCGCGCCTCGAGTTTCGCCGCGCGAAATTACTGTCGTACTGAAAACGCACCCCCAGGCGCGACGTCTTGCGGGGCGCGCGCGCTTTGGTTCGCCGCGGGGTCTTTTCGAGACAGCCAAGTTCAACGACACCCGGCCTATTTCGCCGAGGCAGGAAGTATACATACTGAAAGTAGCGTTTATCGTCGCGGCGTGTATTACGAGGGAGAAAAAAAGGGAGTGAAAGAGGACGGGATAGGGGAGGGAGGAAGGGTAGCTCGCGAATCCCTCTCTCGAGTGAATCCCGCGGATGCTCTCTGAGCTTACCTGAGAGGCGGCGTGATGACCCATTCCCTTTATGGCGCACGTACCGCTATTTGTCGCGGGGAGAAATTATTTATTAGTCGGCATTGTCACGCTCCTCCCGAAAGCACGTGAAAAAGTCCGGAAACGTTACTTTGCTCTCCGCTCTTCCTCGCGAGATTCACTCGCGCGACTCTTTCTCGACAGAGAGAGAGAGAGAGACAGGGGGGGATGGTATTATTATTGTCGCGAAACGCGCGTCAGGATATCGAGCGTTAATGGGCGGCAGGAGTGAAAAATGAATCCTTCCTCTTCGAGGCCCGTGATCGATTGCGTGTCGCGCGACTCCGTTTTTTGGAGCACAATGGAGAGGAACGATTCGAGTTCGCGATTCGGGCGATAAGGGCGAAAATACAGGGGACGGCGTGACGAATATAAAGAGCCGACTTCAAGGGGCTGAATGAATGAACGAATTAATTTTCGTGCGCATTTTTTAACGGAGCAATAAGAGTCCCCGAAAGATATATCTTTTGCTACACCGTCAAGAGTAATTATGCTAATTAATTGCATGTATTGTATTATTTAATTAATAGAACATAGTTTAACAGAAGATTCTGCTGGGGACGCTTCTTTTTGTCTCGGTATAAATGTTCTTTAATCTTAAACTAAAAATGTACTTAAAATGTACCTAAATGCAAATGAGGTAACTCCCTCACCGGCAACGTAATCGATTCCTTGCACATGGCTCTTTTACAAAAATCCCTTATTTCATTCTCCTGACTAACGGCCGCCGTAAAACGTGCACTATCTCATTAAAAGGGGAAACGACGGTTCGCCGATCTTGTCGACGTTAGCTAATTTTAAGCGTAGTTCGACCTATCTTTTGCCTCTTTCTCCATCGCAAATTATTAAATGCCACAGACAACGAGAGTAAGTTTAATCAACCGTGATCGATGAAACCGAAATATACCATAAAATCAATAAAATATGAAAGACTCGTCTAATTCTAAATCGGCAGAGTGCAGAGACACCGACGAACCACAGTCAAAGGCAGCATCAGCAGCAACCGAGGCAGCAGGAGATCTCGCATCGCAGGACGGAGTCTTATTCCGCCGACTCGACGAGGAACAATCTGCCGGTGCCGTCGTCGATACCGCCGCCGCTGGTCTCGCCGCCGGTGCAGTCGCCCCGCGAACGCTCCCGCATCCGGACGAACCCGTGGCTGTCGGCGAACTCCTCCGGATCCAGCACGAACGGCCTGAAGTCGCGGCTCGCCCTGGACGAGAGCAGCAGCAGCTCCGGCCTGAAGCTCACGGAGTCCTCCGGCAGCGCCAGCGACGTCAATCTGAACGGCAGGGAGCCTCATGGCAGGAGGGAGCTCCGTCAGGAGAGCCTCAGCGCCGGCCGAAGCCCGTAAGTGATATTTTTTAAATGTTTTTTTAACAAAGCGATTTATAACCGAGGCTAGGTTTTTATTGAAATAATTGATATTTTTGATTGAAAAAAATTCAATTCAAAATTATCGAAAAAATCTGATCACTATAATTAGATGATTACGACAATGATAATTATCGTTTTAATCATCTAATTATAATTAGATGTCTAATCAGATTAAAGATCGTCTGGCAGAAGGCAGACGGATGAAAATTAAAAAACGAATAAATAGGACTGCGAGAAACGGAATGTAGAGGCGAAACGCGAGGAATTTCTAAGATGAAAATATCCGATACAGGTATTTCTGCAGCGGCTCTGTGTCGTTGCTCTCGGAACTTATCCAATTTCTCATAGGAGAAACTTCTAATTGCGTAAGTTGCTGGCGGACGGCGTATCCTTTTTCAAGTAGAGTTTTTCTTTTCCCCAAATCCACCGGCTCTTTCAGTCTTCGGTCTGGAATTGACCGGCACGACGGCGGTACACGCAGTTAAAGCAGAAGCCGATGGTTAGAAAAGTTCCGCGAAGCAGAAAAGATTCGCGAAACTGTGCGCTTTATTGGCCGCCGACCCGCAATTACGGGAAACGGACGTTTGCCCTTTAAACTAGATTTAATGTTTAATTCACAATTACAAGCTGATTGCACGTGATACCGTCAACCGCAACGGTAATTTCTTTTGCAATACGATTATCGTTGGCTCGCGAATTGCGTGTGCATTGGTTTGCGTGTATACACTTTATGCTGATTGTACATTACATTAATGTTATGCTCTAGTAAAACGAAATTTTGATTAAAACTGAAATTTATTGACGGTACCTTGTACAAACTTTATTCTTTTACAGATAGCTTTACACAATCGCGTGTGTTTAAAACTTTTATAGAATTAGCTAAATTAAAAATTAAAAGAAGCTAAAAAAGGTGTTGAAAGGGTATAAATAGTGAAATGAAAAAAATCCAAATAAAATATCTTTTTTGTATCATATCACTTATTTTATATTCTTGTACATATATCTTTCTCTCTTTGAGTGACTTTCTTCACTCCAAATCCAAGTGTGTAAATCTGTAGTAACATTTTACGCATTTATATTTTTACACATTTTATCTGTGTTTTACACAGTTAAATGCATATTTTTACACGATTAATTTTACAATAATATGTGTAAAAAATATGCATTTAACTGTATAAAACATAGATAAAATTTGTAAAAATATAACACGCGTATAAATGCGTAAAATGTGACTACAGATTTACACATTTGGATTTGAAGTGTTTTGATTTACATTTGACACATTTCCACTTTTGATCAATATTTTTATATAGTCTGTTGAATTTGAATCAAGATTTTTTTTACGATACGTATTAATTCTTGCGCAGGATTAATCAAAACTGGAGGATCACATCGGGCATGGATCTTCGACCGAAGATCTCCTTGGCCCTACAACGACGAGCCAGCAGCAGCAGTTCGTCGGCGTCCTCGGTGACGCGCAGCGTGCGCTCGTCCGAGGACGACATCACGCTGAACGAGATGATGGGCAAGTTCGACGAGAGTTACGTGTACGAGAAAGAGACGGACATCCTGTCGGACAGCGACCCGACCGACTGCGAGGACTATATCGACTCGCTGTCGGACATCGACACCGGTCAGGACGGCGGCGACGAGAACGATCCGTTCGAGAACGACGAGCTCGACTACATCGACAATGGCTCGTTCCTCGACCTGGACAACCTGGAGTGCGGCGGCGCCGGCCACTTTCCCAATACCGGCCACTGCACCTACTTCACTTTCAGCAGCGAACTAAGCCGACGCGGCAGCAGGATGCGCGATTCCTTTCTCAAGCGCAGGCCCAAGGACGAGATCGTCTCTCAGCGGTGAGCTCTGAGAAGTTTTTAGCCCTCAAGCTGTCGAGAACTTATTTTAGCGCTTTGTTTCTCATGCTAATAATTTTCAATTACATTTATTGTTTATCTCTACATTGCTATAGAAATGTGAATGCGAGAGCCAGCGCGAAGAGGCAGAGCGCGCGGCACAGGAAGATGGACGATAAGCAGAGCGAGAAGCGCAAAAAGAGGATATCGCAGCGTCGCAAGCCCACTTTAGACCGATGCGACGACGAGACGGCGAACCTGAACCGCGTGCTGGTCGAAAGGATGCTGCTGAAGAATTCGGGATTCAATCAGGGCAGCAGGAGCGTAGGCGGCACGCCGATGTGCCTGCGACGCAGGAAGCACGACGTGAACAAGAATCTGTCGCCGATGAGACTGAACGGCCACCCGTCGGCCATCCGACCCGCCGTGATGGAGAACGATATCGTGAAGAGACGGTCGAACTCGGTGAGGTCCTAATCTATTCGATGTCACATGTTTTGTTCCATCTTTGTACTGAAGAGCGATCGATTTATTAGCATTTTTTGTTTGTCATATTCGTAGAAAAAGCTGAAATTTAATTATTACTTTGTTTCTTTTTAAGGTGAGTTATGTGAACGGCAACATAGTGCGACGGCACGTGGCCGGCAACACGTACATGACCACGTTCGCGTCGGAGATCGCGCTGATCGAGGCGGACAAGGAGGCCGATCGCAAATATCGCGAGCTCATCCTCGAGGCGGAGAACATTCTGGTGAGCATGCAGAAGTACCAGAACCCCTCGCCGTGTGTGCCGTCGCCGTCGCGCAAGCTACACAACGGCCTGGCGAACAAGCGCGTCGAGCTCATCAAGAATACGGAGCTGAATATCGAACTGGCGCTGTCCAAAAGCCGCAATTCCCAGCCGGAGCTGCAGAGCGGCAGTATCCGCGATCTGGAGCACACCAGCCCGAAACGACAGTTCGCTCCGCCGTGCTCGCCGATTCATCGATTTATGGAGAGGAACTCGCCGGTCGGTTTCGCGTCGAAGGAGCCACCGCCTTCCGTCTTCCGGCAGCACGAGCTGTCCAAGTGTCCGCCGGACTCGCCGGCGATGACGCGCAGAACGACGCCCCAGAGCTCGCCCAGCAGGAGCCTGATGAACCATCAGATGCATCGGGCGCGTAACGGCGAGCCGGAAAGCAAGGAGGGCAACAGATCGCCTCGGATCGCCTTGAATTGTAACGGCGGAATAAAACCGGAAACCGTGAATGCGAACAATTCTCTTGGGGAGAAGATTATACACGCGAGCACGATGACGCAAGGCTCTTTCGTCGGAGGTAGAAAGGAATTTCGCTCCGCGAGAGAATCGACAAAGGAGGAGGGAGTGACGTCCAGCTCGTCGGATTCCGAGGAGAAGTGCGACGTGAGACGGAGGGCTCCATTGATGACTTTCAGGTTGAACTGCTTAAGTTTTAAATAATTTTTAAGTATCATAGTTTAATGGAAAATTGAAAATATTGTGTTTTCATCTTATTTTTTGAAGAATTGAATTTAAAAAAGATCTAAAAAGAGCTTTCTTCTTTGCGATACCGTTATTTATTTATTTATATTTATATCGTAATATTTTAAAAGAAAACGACTTAACGTACAGAAATTGTACAGAATAGATATTAATGATAATTATCGATACATTACAATATCAACTTAATGTTATTGAATGTGCAATCGTTGAATATTTGAATAACAAAAAAATATCTTTAGATCAGTTGACATGGGTCCCATCAAGGAAGGTTCTTCCTACTGCCCGCAAAGCGAACCAGTGAAAAGAAAAGTATACGCCGGAAGCGCAACATATGGCAGAATACAAAAGACATTGGGCGAGCATGTTATGCTGAGAAATTCTGACGGCGATACAGCTACCGATGATACCGGTGCGCGTTTCTTTTATATTTCTACTTCTTTTGTAAACCGCACTCTTTCCTTGATAATACTAGCGTATTACGAATTACAAATATACAAGATATTTAAGATATAAAAGATAACACATATAATTCGTATCTCTCGGTAAACTAATTATATGATTCACTAAAATATCTAATATTTAACATGTGTATATTATATTTTTTGAGTTCAGTTTTAAAATCGCCTTGACTCTTCCCATCTAGTTTTAATAGATTTAATTGAATCTCGCAGTCGCTGTCCGTCTATTAATATTATTTTGTACACGCAGATGACTCGAGGAGATCCCTGAAGGAGAAGGTAGCGCAATTGCGGCAGGAGCGACTGGCCGCCGAGGCGAACGCGAACAACATTCACGACTCGCAGTACTTCCAGCACCAGCTATCCCAGCTACGAAGGCAGATGCTGATGCAGACGATCGAGGGCCTGAAGCGCAGCCTCGAGGATCAGTCGGCCACCCTGAAGCAAACCTGCCTGGAACCGACGAGCCTGTTGACCGACGAGCTGCCTTGAATCCGGCCGGCCGGCTCGTTTCCGGTCTATTGTGCCGCTCACGATCGCGACTAACGGCGTATCTACGACATCGCCCTGTTCCTCGCGAGGGGAACAGACGTCGCTGGACGGACAGGATCGAAGTTACGAATCCTGTCCTCGGCGAATCCTCCGCGATTGGTCGAGCCGCCGCGCGCTGCGAGGAGTATTGATTAAGCGCGGCGTTTATTCCATGCGCGCCGAATACCGAATTTACGATGACGCATTATGATCCTCCTCGACGATACCAGGGTCGGCTGAGTGCGGACGCGCACGTCAAATCTCTATTTTTCTGTCCGTCTACGTGATATGAGAGAGAGAGAGAGAGAGAGAGAGAGAGAGAGAGAATGAGAGAAAAGAAGAGAGTCGAAATTGAGTGTCGCGTATCCTCGCTGGGAATTGTTCCGCTCTATTGTTCGTTTCACGCAACAATTAACGTTTCTCACGAACTTTCCTTTTCGTCGTTTTTTTAGTTTACAACTTCGCGGCGGGTAGGCCGATTTTCATTTGCCGCTTTAGATTAGCCTTTTTACTAGCTAGACTCTCATCGTTCGATCTATCGTCGCGGTGCTCGCTCCGAAATTTCTTCCCGAAATGACGGCAGACGAGAAATTCTTGCAGATCGTCGAATTACGTTAGGATCAGTCCTAAAACGCTAACGCGGAGAGAGTTATTAATAACCGAGTATATTACCAAGTAATTATAATAGAATAATTAATATTATTAATCACACTAATCGCTATATTAACATTACTATATTTAACATTTTTTCAAATATATAGCGCAAATATTATCGATCATTAGTATATTATTATATACGAAATTTGCAATAGGAAACAAGGAGAAGGATAGTACGCACACTAGTTTGAGATTGTACTAGGCTCCGCGACAGAGCTCGCGTTAGCGTTTCTAGGACTGATTGTGAGCTTAGACTACTAACAACATCTAAACGGGCCTATTCACGGGTGTCTGTCTTTGATATACTTTAGAAGAAACAAAGGAAACATAGCGAAAAATCGTAGAAAGGAAGAAAAAAAGACGTCAAAAGTAAGTCATGCAAATGAGTAATGTATCAGCAGTATCAAAAAGCATAGATATTTAGCATATACCCATCTAACGGATTTTTAGAAAATCACGGATTTAGCCGAGTACACTAGCAGATAGGCGATTCAAAACTTATATAATCGATTTAGACATTAGAAACACGATACGTGCCCAAGGAATACGGCCCAGTCTCGAGATGTCGAGACGGTCGGGGAAGGATAATCGCTTGACCGACGCGATGAGACGGTGAGATTTGTTTCATTGACCGTTTGAGCCTCATCGAGACAAATAAAGCCTCCTACATGTGTAAGCTCCTTAAGCAAGATATCTAATCACCTCTATGGATATAACTAATTTTTATAAGCACTTCGTAAAAAGTAACAATTGACGCTCAAAGGGTTAAGTAAACTAAACAGACACAGGCAAGCCACGTGGGAAAGCAACGAGAATATAATATAAATAATGCGAATAGAGACGAAATAGTTTAACACCGGATGAAGGTGTGCGAGTCTCAAGGCTTTCCTTCCCCAGCCCTCTCGATTCTTCCAACTTGATCTGTTGCAGAATATGATGTTTACGGTATGTGCACCCTTTTTCCCCCCACTTCGAAGTGAATCGGACGCGACGCAAGAGGTGACTGTAAAACGGAGCTTTCCGGTGAAGAAGGCTCCATTTTGCTCCTCGTTCGTGTTCGATTCCTCATCCGACAAGCGCCGCTTATTTTTCACACAGAGAGGACGAGGACTATACTGACATAATAATCGTTTCTCGCCGTGGAACATAATGGGGACGCCATGATCAGTTAGCTTACTCACATATTACTCGTAATGTTCCTATTTCCATGCGATACTCGCATCCCCGGAAGCGAGATCTTTCCCCCGTGAACAATCACCTCTGTTTCTGGATAAAAGTAAGCAATCTCCCCCTCCCCGTCAGATTAGTATACCAAAGACGATAGCTTAGCTAGATAGTAGACTAGAGCCGTTTAACCGATCAAAAAAAAAAAAAAAGCGCACAGCGATGCATATTCGTAATAATTAGAGGATCATGATTAAAGCGTTTTTAGAAACTTCGATTTGCTAGTAGGGAATAATCGTTCGAGTTACGTCAAGCGGATTACAAATCTTCCAATGTGGGCCAGAGTCTCAAAGCACTGTTCATTCCAGCACTCGCAACAGATTTATATACGTGGTTTTTCTAAGTTACATTTTTAAGCGATTTTAATAAAGACACAGTAGTTGATATTTCTTATTTTAAAGGGTCTGCTTTTTGTTTCGAAGACGTTGAAGGTTTATTTATTTTTATTTATTGACGTTTCTCGATCGCGATTTCGGATAATTTTGGACTCTGGCCGTATCATCGACACACGGTATGTTCGGTCATAGTGATATTTTTGTGAGAATAGACTGATAGCGTTATCGATTGTTAGATTAAAAAAAAATTTTTAGCGGTTACTTACATGTGATTCAGATATGTTAAAGGTTCAAATACGTTCTCCGGAAACGGCGGATTGTAATTGCGCGCGCGATATATTTATTTGTGTTAGATACTAGGAAGCATAGTTAAACGAAAGCATTAGGCGAATGTAGCGTAGCGTTAGTGCATTAGGCAATCGTCAAGTAAACGAAGTTCACATACTTGTTTCTTCCTCCACCTTGGTTTCTTTCGAATCGCGTTTGTGATTTATTTTGTCATAAATATATCTATGATTTCCTCTCGATCGTGATTCATCGTGATCTTTCCGTTTGTAGCTTATTGTGGAGGCAGACTGCGAGAAAGAGAGAGAGAGAGAGAGAAAGTTACTCTGATCGTATAATCGAAAGTCTTTGCGCGATACGCCGAGTATCGTTAAGTGGGACGTTGTTCGAGAGTTTTATACGTGAAAAAAAAAAAGAAGACGAAGTAGGAGAAGACACTGTATATAACATAATTTTTTAACCGAGGAATATTTTAATTTTTTATAATCGTAAGACGGGATTAGTGCGTCGTTGTCATAAGTTCGATGATTTCTATGCGATCGCATCGACATTCCAAGAATGCAGTTTGCGTTGGTTTAACCGGAGGAGAGGCAAGTTGCCCGGATCGATCCGCGAATCGCTCACACACGGCTTCGAGCATCGCCCTTGCCGCAAAAAAAAAAAGAAAGAAAAACGACACTAGTCACTCGATCATTCACGCAGGGTATATATGGATCGACAACTCCGAACGTGTGCTTGGGGGCAAAGTGGAATTATTGTTGCAAACGACATCTCTTGTGTACCAAGCCATTTATGAAATAAAAAAATGGTTTTTTTATATGATTATGAATAAATTATATTATGTCGTTGGATTGGTACTTGCTTTTACTCTTTGCCTTTGACGAAAGAGAGCACCCTTTTGCGCGCGGTAATAAAATATTACTCCATCGACCGAGGACGTATTTCTGCACGAAGAAAAGAGATACTCCAGGTTACGAAAAGACTGTATGTTTATTACAAAGCAATAATCCCTATTCATATTTGCAAACTGTGTTTGTTTACAGAAACATGTTGGGGTAACTCGTGTCAAACAAGTGTATGTGTGTAACAATATTATCTTAAACTTCAGGTATGAGCAAGATAATTTCTCATAAGGCCATAACAGAATTATCATTATTCATATGTGATCAATGAAATTGAATTAAATTACCTCTCTGACGTACTTGTTCATTGATTCACAGGCGCGGAAACGGAAGTCATTAAATTGCAGTAGAAGTCACAGATGCAAATTCTACAGTCATACGCTGAACGACATTCATCCTCTCAATTCAATGAGAGAAGTCTAACAATCTTGCAATTTTATGCTTTTAATATATTAACAATCTGTGCACGCGAGAAGTGAAAGAGGCATGTGGTAATGCATATCTTTACATATTTACACGTAACAGACATGTGTCGCTTCGCCTCGTTAGGTAAAATTCGGTATAGGAAAAAATCGTGTTATCCGTCATAAAATTCTGACAATCAAGACGCACACGTCCACAGGCGGGGTGTGTGTGTGTGCGTGTGTATGTCCTTCCACAGACGGATATTCACTTGATTCGTTCGAACCTGTGCTGGATCTCGTATATCCCGACGGGTTCCATGATCTTGTCGCAGTAGTCCTCCCACTCGCCCTCGGTCAGATCGACGTCGGGGAACTCCTTGCCGCCGTCCGCGGCCCTGGCGATCCAGCCCTCCCGCGCGGAGAAGTCGGACGGCTCTATGCCCCGGCAGTCGAACACGACGATCGTCTTGAACTGGCCCTGGTCGTCCGTGGTGAAGGAGCCGACCGAGTCCTCGATTATCGCCATCGAGTTCTCGCGGGAGCAGAGCTTGCACTTGCTCACGAAGTGGTTGACCCCGCTGCCGCGCTGCACCGGCGTCGACTCGTCCAGGGAGACGTAGTTCCACTTGTCCGACGTCTCGCCGCAGTTGCAGCACGTGAACTTGAGGCACCACCTGAACTCGGGCCCGGACGGCCTCAGCTCCTCGACGTTGTCGAGCCTGCACGTGATCCGCAGCGCTATTTTCACCATATTTTTTTTTTACGATCGAGGAACACCGGCGGCGTCCTTTCTGTAGGAAAACAATCGGATCAATTATAACAGCACGTACGCACAAGTACGTGAAAGCCCGCGATTGTGTTTGCGTTCAGGTTGATCTCCTTACCTGCAAGACTTCCACGCGCGAGAGATTGGAATGCCGGCTCGTGCAAGTTTACGGACGAATCCTCAATTCCTCGTGCACGGATGACGGTATTGCGACTGCAAACGGCGAGCTCTGATGCCTCTGATCGCCACGGCGATTATCCGATTAGCGCGTCCGCAGGTAAACAAACCGGCCAGTTCTCAACGAGCGACCGAAGTCCGCGGCTTTAAACGCGTATTGTCGTCCGGCCCGGAGGCGAGCCCGGCGAAACACGAAAAATCGCTGGCGCCGGATGGTCCATCCGGAGCCACCGCCGCGCGCACGCGCGCCGTGAGTCGTGACTTTGCCGGCGGCGCCTTGACGGAGTCGACCTGACAAGCAGACAGCCGACGACGGCGACAAGTGGTATGGATTCGATTGAACGGCGTCTCGTTTTCCTCGCCTGCCTGGCGAGCCTCGTCGCGGGCTTCGTCGCCCAGGATATCCTGGGATGCGGCGGCTTCCTGAAGAGCCACGCCGACATCGATTTCACAAAGGTGCACGTGAGGTTGTGAGTATCGCGAGAGAGAGTGAGAGAGAGAGGTTATCGGAACAGCTGTACGCTGTATGCACTACGTCCCGCGATGCGCGCTGAATGTTCGAATTTTATGAGATAAATTTGTCAGGTACACGAAGACCGGCAGTCTGAAGGATCAGACCGAGTGCGCGCCCAACACCGGCTACTACTTCCTGCCTCTGTACGACAAGGGTGAATACGTGTTGAAGGTAAGCTGGAAAGATGCATCATCATTGCCACTAATTAAATAAAATATGTGCGACGCTCGATACTGAGACACAAGAAATTTGTTTACTTGTGTAATGTAAATATATAAATTTATTTTCAAAAAGTCTCTTTCGATTTGAGTGGAATAAGATCGTGGTCTATTATTAATAATGTACAAAATTTGTTAAAATTGTTAGCCTCTATTAATTGGCACCGTAAAAAAATTTATGTTGTAAAGGATCGTAAACGAAATAAATTGTGTTTTAATATGTCAGGTAGATCCTCCCAGAGGCTGGAGCTTTGAGCCCACAGAGGTAACGTTGAACGTAGATGGTGTTACGGATGACTGCAGTCAGGGAAAGGATATTAACTTTACGTTCAAGGGATTCGGTATCACAGGACGCGTGAGTAATAAATTTTCTCTCTGTTTACTCGTACATGGGAATATTTGTCTGAAGAATATTTTATGATATATATATACCGATGATTTAATAATACAGTTTTTAACATCAAAATTAATGTTTTTAGGTGGTTAGTTTGGGTACTAACTCTGGTCCTAAAGGAATTACTATCTCCTTATACGCAGAGAACAATAAACAAACTCCCATTAAATCGACGTTAACAGCAGAAGGGGGCATATTTTACTTTACTCCCATTCAGCCTGGAAAGTACATTCTCGTCGCTGATCACTCCAAGTAAGTGTACAGTCTGATAGCTGAGATGAATTTATTTAGTTATTTTAAGATACGAAAGATATAAAATAGCAACGATATTGATTGTCTTTCATAGATGGCTAATAAAGGAAAGTAAAATTGAAGTAATTGTGCAAGAGGGTAACACCGAACTCGCGGATGGCAGCCTGGTAGTGTCGGGATACGACGTCAGCGGCAAAGTCACTAGCGAGAATGAACCAGTGGCCGGTGTCTCTTTCATCCTTTTCGGCGTAAGATTTATTTTCTTAATTTACAATTATTACCAACATATTTTGAATATAATTATAAATCGAGATATTTTGAAATTCTTAAGTATTCATTATGAAAATTATACGTAGAATGAATAATTTTGTATCTTTTACAGAATGGCATCGCCGAGAAATGCGAGACTACTCCCATGAGCAAGAATTTCGAATCCAAGAAACCACTCTGCCACGTGACCTCAGATAATACCGGTAGATTCGTATTTCCCAGTCTGTCGCCTGGCGATTACAAGCTTGTGCCTCACTACGCCGGTGTCCAGACGAAGTTCGACGTCCAGCCGCCGGAATTGTCCTTCAAAGTTAGCCACAACAGCGTGGTGCTCTCGCAAGACTTTCGAGTAACCGGTTTCACGGTCGGCGGCCTGGTGCGCAGCTCGACGAACGGAAATCCTTTACCGGGAGCAAAGATATTCTTGTCGCAGAAAGAAGTTGCGGTCACCGACAAAAATGGGAAATACGTGCTGGACAACATGAAAGCCGGCCAGTATACACTGAGAGCGGAATCTGGTACGTAAAAATTTCTACATAATCTCTCGCAGATTAAAATCGTTCATCGAATCCCGTGTCATTATTTGTGCAATTATTTGTTCCACAGCGAACGTACAATTTAGCGAAAGGACAGTTAAGATATCTCCCACCTCGCCCGAACTCCCGGTGCTGGCACCCTCGGCGTACAAGGTCTCGGGAAAAGTCACCCTGTCGGCGAAGGGGACGCTGCACTTCCGTCGAATATCCATTCAAAACACAGCCGCCACGTTTTACAAGGAGCTCGACACCAATGAAAAGACGGGAGAGTACTCTGTGTACCTCGCACCGGACAAATATCAGCTGAGTGTAATAGTGAGCACGGAAGAGAAAACCAAGGGTTTACAGTAAGTAACAAATGTAAAAATAAATCCGGAATATATACAAGTGAATTTATGAAATTATTTGTGTAAAATAATTACATATATTATACATAAAAATTTCCTTGTGATTTCTAGATTTTATCCGCTGCAACAAACGATTGACGTGACGTCTCAACCGATTACCAACGTCAACTTCTTACAATTAAAAGCCACGTTAACAGGAACGGTACACTGCTTGCCGGGGACAGATTGTGGTCAGGCCTCCGTTACTTTGAAGATACTCGACGGGGTCACGATAAAGACGGTACAAACTAAAGGTGTGCTGACATAAATGTTACTCGACGTTAATTCGATCTTTTCAATAGTGTAACTTGAGCTGCAATAACAAATATGGTGCATTTTATAAAATGTAAAAATGATCTCTCCGATCTTGTGACTCTTGCACTTTGCAGTAAGCTTGAAAGTTAACTTGACTTCGAGCAACCAACGTGAAATACACGTTCGTACCTATATTCGTTATTGCAGTAACGCCCGTTTAATTCGATACGATACTAGCGTCCCCGTCTGTGAAGTCGTTTTCCATTACTCAGACGGCCAGTACCAGTTCACGGACGTTCTGCCCGGCCACTACGAGATCTTCATCGACAACGACGTGTTTTGCTGGGAGAATCCCAGTTACAGGATCTCGATAACGTCGGAGCGCGCCGAGGTGCCGCCGTTCAAGCAAACCGGCTTCTCCATCACCTTCATATCGTCCCACGACACGGCCGTCGAGTACTTCGAGCCTAATAACACGAAACTGATCACGCTACCCCTGAACAAGGGCAGCATGAGGCACTGCGTGCCTAAAGCTGGAGCGTACACTTTCATTCCGAAGGGTTGCCACATATACGAGAACTCCTCCTACAACTGGGACACAAGCAATCTCTCCCCGATCTTGCTGCATTCCACCGAACACACTCACAAAGGCAGTATTATAAGTTTGAGCGTGCAAAGCGATCTCAAAGTAAAAATCGAAGACGCAAACAACAGTGTCACGTAAGTTGTGCAGTTTCAGAAAAAAAAATGTTCTATATCTTTTTGTATTTATATATATATATGAGTAATATTAATGTCTTAATTAATTTCTTTGGGATATACATAATGCACATGTACGTCTCTCTTTATGAATATATTTTCGATAGGATCGGACCACTGAAACCTGTAAAAAAAGATGACGTATACAAATACGAGTTCGAGTTTAAGGCGAAAACTGATAATATGTACACTATCACTCCATTGTCGGACATTCTGCTTTTCAATCCGCCGTCTCTGAAGGTCTTTGGCGTGAATGACTGTCATAACGACATCGCAAGTTTTGCCGGTGATTTAGGAAAGGTAGATAACATAATTGCATTAAACATGTGGAATTTAAAGCTAAAAACGAAAATATTATTCAGATAATAGCCGGACAGATCTCTCCGCCGTTGGAAGGCGTAACTATAAAGATAATTGGGAAGGATCAAGAGTCTCCGGTTCACACGTTAGTTACACAAAAAGACGGGGTTTACAGCGTTGGACCTTTGGATGGGAAAATCGAATATAGGTATGCCGTAGTTTTTTTAAATTATTATTATAAAGTTATTCTTAAAATCAATAATCGTCTGTTATTAGTATTACAGCTGAGAAGGAAGGTTTCATAATCACTGGGCCTGATGCTAAAGGAGTGTTCTTGGCGCACAAATTGGCCGAGATTATCGTGCAAGTGTCCGATCACGCTGACGGTTCTTCGTTGCAGGTAATTCAAGCTCGATAGAAATTCATTAACAAAAAAAAAAAAAGAAATAAGATAAAATAATATCATACTATTTTACAGGGTGTGCTTCTTTCTTTGTCCGGCGGTCAAAGTTATCGCAAGAACAGCATAACCGGCGAAGACGGGAAATTTGTATTCAATTCATTGTCGCCGGGCGAGTATTATCTGCGACCTATGATGAAGGAATACCGCTTTGATCCGCCATCGAAGATGATTAACGTCATGGAAGGCGCGACCGTCAACGTGAATCTGTTCGGCAATAGAGTCGCCTATAGCGCTTACGGTTCCGTCACGTCCTTGAATGGGGAACCGGAAGTCGGCTTGCTGGTCGAAGTTCAGGGCCAAGGAAACTGCTCCAGTCTCCAAGAGGAGGCCACGACCGAGGAGAACGGTAACTTTAGGATCCGCGGTCTACAGCCCACGGTGAGTACAATTTGCGTAAAAAAAAAAAAAAAAAATACAGAATGTTCCCAGACGCGTTTGGCGAGCGTTACGTGATTTATTAATTTCGTAGTGCGTCTACGCCTTCCGCCTGAAGCCGAACGTGGAGAGCAACGCCCACATACAGCGCACGAGCCCCAGCTCTCAGGTGGTGCAGCCGGTGCAGGACATCCGCGGCCTGCGGCTGATCGCCTTCCATCCGATCTCGCGCACGGACGTCTCGGTGCACGTCACGTCCGCCCTGCCGGAGCACTATCGCACGATCAAGGTGAAGCTGTGCCGGGAGGACGCTCCCGACTCGCCGGTGCACGTCTCCAAGCTGGACGTGCAGCAGACCACCGGCAAGAACGCCGGCAGCTACAACGCCGGTTTCCTGGTGCACTTTCCACCTCTGCAGGCCGACGGCAGGAAGTACTTCGTTCAACTGGAGTCGTCGCTCTCCCAGGCCGTGCACAAGTACCGCACCGTTCCGGTCTACTTCGAGGCGAACTCGTCGTTCAAGTACGTCAAGCTGGCGTTCAACGCGGAGCGGAAGGTCGATCAGGGTGAGATGAATCAGACGTCGGTGATCGCGCTGCCGTTCATCATGCTGGTCGCGCTCGCGTTCCTCAATCGCGAGAAACTGTGGGTCTGGTTGAACGCGCTGCTGGAGAGACGCTCCAAGCCCGTGCCGAGCTCCAGAGCGCCCGTCCAGGCCATTCCCATCGATCCCAGAGCGGACGACATCATAGTCGAGCAAATAATGAATATTAACAAGAGGAAGACGAAGCCGCGAAAAGCGTAGACTGTATATTGTTATCATCATCATCATTTATGCAGTAAGACTCATTTTCAATAATACCAAGAGATTGTCGAAGATGTAAGAATCTTACATCGTTCCTTGTTTTATACGTCTGATTATCTGTCCGCAACATTTGTCACGACAGTCGCATGTGTCACAAAAGCGAAGGAAGACTGTCACGATACACTCGAACGTGTATTTAGATTTCTTAATTTTCTTAATATTTGTACGTACAATATTTAATCGTGGGAGAATTACGTGTTCGAGTCAGAGATGTATATAACGTACATGAATCGTTTGTATGTATATCGAGAAAACTTTTTTAGCATTGTAATAGTTTAACGTGGGAGGCATGCGGATACGTCAAGTGATGCACCGACACGTGCACCGACCTGCATCCGGTACGTAAGTCATGATATATATATATATAACCGTTAAGTTATATAAAGTAAGATGTACATACAAAAATACTGTTGTTATATTCATGGAATTGTTATAAATGTTCTTGCAAATAATGTATGAAATTCTTACTTCTTCGTGGGAATTTTTTACTTTATTCTATAAATTAGCGTAAGAGGTAGAGAAATAGAGGGTGGATGATTGTTAGGCATTTTATTTTGTGAAATTTTACAAGCGATACTCTTACTCACACTTATATACACGTCTGCTTACTCTATATTTAGATAACGAAGTACGCCTGAAAAGAAATGCAATAAGGCATATAGTATGACGCGTTAAAGTATCGTTGTATCAATGAATCGTTTTATACGTACCACGGGGTTTGCTTTGTACATGCATTGGTTGAAATTCAGGGCTTTCGTGCACTTATCAGGGCCATCTGAAAAAATCGTAGACAATCATATAAGACGTTCATTTTTATCGATGTAGCAAAGATTATTACTTATAATGCAACTTTATTAATAATAGGAGTCGTTGCAAATGGTTGCATTTTTGTTTTTGTATATTTTTACAATTAGATACGGAACGTAATTAATCTCAACAAATTGCTACTTGCCTATAGTACGACACTGGTCGAGCATTTCCAATCCAATGTGCTTATATGCCTGCGGCATCAACTTGGACAAGACCTTGAAGTTTATTTTGCCATCCTTCTTCATCTAATCAAAAGAAATTAAAGCTTCAGCGATCCCCGATTTTAATAGTCGTTATTACGTTTTGTAAAAAAAAAAAAAAAACTTTACCGCTCCCCCTTTTTCCATCACGCACTTGAAGTAACACGCCAGCGTTTTGTCGTTAGGAAATTCGCCTAATTCTGCCCCCTGCAGCATGTCTGCGATTAAAATCGTTAACATTAGATGATTTAATGATGATAGATAGATATAATAATAGATAAAATAATGATATTGCAAATTATTCTTGATGATATCAAACGAAAATCAAATGATTCGATTTTTTCCCTTGTTGACAAGTACGTAACGAATGAACTCTTTCACTGTTAATTTTATGCGATATTTTGAGAACGTACCCTCCGTCACACCGGTTTCGCCGCTACATTTTTTTCGTAGACCTCCAGCCAATTTTCTTAACTCGTCGTGAACAGTAGCCCAATCTATGTCCTATAAAATTATTATATCGGCGATTATAAAGATCCCGCCTAGATTTTTGAACTCATAATCGTACTCACTTCTTCGTTAGCACTCACGACGACGAGCTGCGTGAGGATCAGGGAGACACAAATGAGAATTAGATTTTCGTTTGCCATTTCTCGTATTTCACACGATTTGGCCGAAAAGAACAAATAAACGTTTACTCGCCCATCTAGAATTACTAAGTGCGCGATCGCGCTGAATCATCGAGAATTTATGCGAGTCCTGGCGACGAGGTGGGAGATAATAATTAGCTAGCAAACACAAAAATCAGCTATCAGAAAATTACATGAATATACATATATCTGGATAGTCAGGAAATTAACTAGGTATCAGATTCAGAGCGCAAATTTCGTGAATTATAATCGCATGTTGTTTTCGAAAATAATTTCCGGAAGTATTTCCGGGAACGATTTTTACTCACAGATCAGAGCTTCTATACACGTCTTTCTGTACGATACGTGTAAAATAATTAGTATCGCGGAATTTCCTGTAAGTTCTAGGCAAAGAAAACTCGAACGAGAGACAAGCTTAAGAGAAATCGAAATTATTTAAAATATCGAGAAAAGATTTGCAATATGAAAGCTTTGTATAAGTGCACGCGCTGTAAGCGAGAAGCATGAAACAAAAGAAGAAGCGGTAAATAAAACGTATAATAGGAATTTTCCTAGTTAGGAATATATACGATGTATCCAACTTGTTTTCTTAAATAAGTAACAATCGCACGATAATTTCTTCCTGGTTCCGCGACCTGTAATTTCAATATTTCGAAAATTATACCCGATGTCTAGTTGAGGCACCATAAAATTGTATGCTGTCTGACAAATGACATGTTTTAGTCTTTTAATTGTAACGCGCAGTGTTTTAATTATAATCCTGTGGCGTTGTGTAACCTCGCGTTGTGAGAGTGCAATCGGAATCTTGCAGTTAAATCATCTTACTGCCGCAAGATTAGCGGCTGTCGCGGACAAAATCGCCCGTAGAATTTCTCGTTATTTTTTTTTTTAATTTAAGTCTAATATTAAATTCTAATATTAAATTAAGTTTAGGTATATTAATTATGATCTAGATTTCGATTAGCTCTAACAGTCTTGGTTTTTGCGTTGCCATCTCTCTCGCGTTCATCGGGAGGCTCGCCGTTGCGTTATATCGTAATGCTCTTCCACTTGCGGGCACACGCACACGATCCGCGGCGCTATTTCTGTCCCGATCGTCACTAAAAGGACTCGTTTGCGAATGAAACGTTTCAAGTGTGTCATAGTTGTGGACCTCTCCTTCCGTCGATCATCAAAGCATGACCTCAACCGGCAATTGGAACGTTCCACTGCCGCAATCTGCGATATCAAACTCGGTCTTATCAAACGAGAGCGCCATCAATTTATCAAGTCTGGCAATCAATCCGATGTGCATATAGAGGCACTCTATACAAATCGCAGGTCTTCCTCGAAAAGGGAACGAATCGTAATTCGTACAAGAGCCTCGAGCTATTTTGCGCTTCTCTCGACACGTGAGATACGCTCGACATTTGTAATACGTTTTGTCGTGGCGAAGGTACGGGAAGCACACGCAGGAGAACAAGTCGATTAGATCGCTGAATTCTTTTTATTTCATCGACACATTCGTATACGGTTTACGCAATACATGGCATGTACAGCGGTTACATGATAAAGTGGAAAGTGGTTTAAACGGTAAAAACATCGCGACACACTTGGCGAAATTGTATCTTGAGCATTTTGTTCTTGGTCTTCTTTCACGCGCTCGTCCTCCCCCGCGGCTCATTAGAACAGATAGTAAGTCTGAAATTACGACGATTCGCAATGATAAGATGAGGATAAATGCGTCGCGATCGAACGCGACTTGCGATCACTTACCCTCGGAGATAGCTCCGCGTAGCACTTGTTGAACGTGTACGCGTACTCGCAATTATCACCCTTTGCTGCGAACAGAAAGATTAATTGGCCATTAATTGCTCCACGTGACGCGACACGAAAGATCGTGTGTAATCGAAAATAAAATGAAACAACTAAAATAGCGCAGAATTTAAAAAGAAAAAAGATAATCAAAGAATTAAAGAAAAAAGAATTGATCAAAGATTCCAATATCGAAGTTTTCAATATTGGAAAGGCTTGTATCAGTGCCATTCGTGAACACAGTGATTCAAGAGATACAAAGATGTCTTTAAAGGAGTTTCAATCGGCAATACTTTTTTATTATTGTCTATTTAATTGCGATCGAAATGTGCCATTAAAGACATCATCGTGTTTCTTGATCCATCAATTCCATTCTTGTCAGCTTTGAATTTTCTCCATTTCGAAATTAATATTAATTAATGGTTCAGTAATATTTTCAGCAGGATTACTTCCAGCGCGATTTCGTAAGTTTCGAGCACACGCAATCGATCGCGGCGGGACGAACGAAAAATAAAAGGACAGTAGATACCCAAATAGTTACCGATCCCCTTGCACTCGTTGATCGCTTTCTCGACCTCGACTCTATAGGCGGGTATTCTCTGGAAGAACGTCAGCATCCCGTTCAGACTTAGCTCTCTCTTGTCGTCGACCAGACCGAATTGTTCCCAGAGGCAATACATGTAGCACTGCGACAAATCAGATTTGGCCCTTAATGCCCGCGAGTCTTACGTGTATCTTTGTATTTAATTTGTATTAAATTTTGTCGATCACGCGTTTATCGATAACGATGCTTTTTCGTCGGATATAATTGGCAATTCGCGCGCTTCCGCATATCCCGGTACTCACCTTCAATTGACGTGTTTCCGGCCACTGACCGTTTCTTACCGCTTCTATGTCGGCTAAAAAAAAAAGGACGTATTGTATATATTATTATAATATATATTCGATGTGCGTCCATTGGTATATTTTCCAAATAATTTCCGTCGCAATTAAATTTCTTGAAGCTCGAATTGAATATATATTGAGCATCAATGAGATGCAAAATAGATCCATCGTTCAACTTTTTATTTTTTTTTATCGTGTTTTTAATTTTAATTTTCTTCGTTTTTTACTCTAAATAAAAAAATCAAGCAAATTAGAAATATCTGAGCCCGAAGGAAAGCGTCGCGCACGTTTATTGAACACGCTATCCATTCCCGACCGCTCAGAATCGACAGCTATCGAGAAAACTACTCCTCCTTCCCTCCCTTTGTTCTCTTGTGAAATCGTTTTACTGATTTAATTCGAAGTAGGATAGTCGGGAGTGTCAGCTGTACAACTTTATGCGCCGTCGCGGTAATTAAAAGTGCGATCGATAGTTTCATTCACGCCGGGGGTGAACGAACTCTCTCGTTAAATAAATATACCTGTGGCGACTCCCGTTTGCGTTTGGCAGGCGTTCACGACGCTGGCTGCGGTCGCGATCATCTGGTCGGAAACGAAGCTGGGTCTCGTCTGCAAAATAGATCGGTGTCATTGAGACTAATAGGTAGTAGTTAAGATAGGCGGAGAGAGAGACGAACGCGGAAGCTGTATTGACTGTGATATATTTTTTCATACACGGCAATATACATAGCGAAGAGATATTGTCGTGTATAATAATTATTTCCTCCTTCTTCATTACTCTTTCAAAATTTGATTATTTTTGTCATTATTTTAATATCGTCTTTCTTCCCTGCCACAAAGAGTTAAAGCGGAAAAGATATTATTCCCTCTTGATTTAAAATATTTTCACATGATATTTTAATTTTCTCTGCGTTTTTGAAGCTGAATTGAAAATCAAATTGTGATTATAATTTAAAACATCGAACCCGGAAAACGTCTCTCGCGTTATTGAGCGCGCAATTTATATCCCCCAATACTCGGACCATCGAGATCCATCGAGAAAAATCACCCCAACCCTTGAATTTCCGTTTACTCCTATCGAGTTTCGTTGAAGACACACAGTCAGATATAATTCTTTAACTTCAAGCGAATTATCAAAAAAATTAAATTTCTGTCGAACTTTTTCATATACTTTTAATTTTGTTCTCAAGAGGGAATAATTCTCCGTTCAATGAACCCTCAGGTTTACGCCTTAATTATAAGATCCGCACCGTTTTGCCACGTACCCCGCAGGACACGATCCATGCCTGAAGGAGGAATCCTAGGGCGACCGCGAGGAGCCTCATCCTTGGAGTCTCTCGAGTACTTCTTATCACTTTCGCGGAAATCTTTCTCCTCGCTAGCTGCCGTCAGTGAGTGCGATCGTCGGTGGGTCCCTTTGGCCGGCGGCGGCGATCCCGTTTCCGGCGCGTGTCGACGTGTGAGAGGCGTGCCGAGTGCGCGCCGTGCGCGAGGCGAGGGTGCGACTGAACGTCGGAGACGGGAGAACGAGTGGCGGGCGCGGGTGGCCGAACGGGGGTCGGGATGAGAGATGGATGGAAGCAGAAGACAGGGTCCAGAGGCCGAGGGAGTGACAGAGGTGGAAGCTGCACGAGCCCTGCCGCGCGCGCCCTGGAAGCCGATTCGAGAGCAGGTCGCGAGCTGTTATCCTTCTCTCGCCCGTTCTCGCGCACCGCCCTTGCGCCATTTTCGCGCAAAATCGCCGTGTTCGATAACACGACGCTCCTGTCGTCAGAACTTCAATCGAACGTTTATTATAGATTTCGTTTTGCTTTTAGATTAATCTCTCACGCAGCGCGTGTGCTTTGTACGAATGCCGAGATAATTCGAGTACGAGAAGCGCTTCAGAATAGAGTTGTAGAAACTAGAAAGATAGCGCCAATTTTTTTCTTCATTCACTTTTTTGTTTGGAAGTAACAACGTTGATTTAATCCGACGATTTAATTCGACGGATATTTCCGTATATTCGAGCCTTTCAATTTCCTCAAATTTCGAATTGGAGGTATTTTTTATTTATTTATTGACACACCCAGTCGACAGTGCGATCGAAATCTCCCACGTCGCATATAATACCGGCGCGAATATTGCACGCGCTCTTTTCATCGCGCCAAGATAAATTACCGTCTCTCCTCGGTATAAAAGAGCTTTCGATTCTAGGCCAGGTCACACACATAGACAGACCGATTTGATTGGCGGATGTTACCAGTTTACGATCCGACCCTACGTAATATCTCGTCTATCCTATGTGACGTCGACACAAATACGATTCCTCTATGTCTCTCTCTCTCTCTCTCTCTCTC